TCTTGATCCGCCAACGTTCCCCGACGGGGCCAACCGCCAGACGAAGCCGAAGGGGACTGCCTCGGCGCCCGGTCGTTGGGCGCCTCGGGCTAAGCCTGCTTCAATAAAAAATCATCTCTCTAGTTTCTCCTTCTCTTTATAGTCTTCTCTCTTTGTTTTCTTTTTCTTTCTTTATTATTATTATTTTTTTTTTTGGGGGGGGGCGGGGGGAAATAACCTCCTACTTTCTCCCTCTCTTTTCTAGTCTTCTGTCTTTATTTTTTCATTTATTTATTTATTATTAATTATTATTATTATTTTTTTGGAAAATCATCTCTCTTACTTTTCTCCCTTCTCTTTCTAGTCTTCTGTCTTTTTTTTTTTTTTTGGGGGGGGGAATCATCTTACTTTCTCCCTCTCTTCTAGTCTTCTGTCTTTTTTTTTTTGGGGGGGGGGGAATCATCTCTTACTTTCTCCCTCTCTTTCTAGTCTTCTGTTTTTTTTTTTGGGGGGGGGGGGATCATCTTACTTTCTCCCTCTCTTTCTAGTTTGTCTTTTTTTTTGGGGGGGGATCATCTTACTTTCTTTCCCCTCTCTTTCTAGTCTTGTCTTTTTTTTTGGGGGGGGGGGGTCATCTTTACTTTCTCCTCTCTTTTCTAGTCTTCTGTCTTTTTTTTTTTTGGGGGGGGATCATCTTACTTTCTCCCTCTCTTTTCTAGTCTTCTGTCTTTTTTTTTTGCGGGGGGGGGGAATCAATCAACTTTCTTCCCTCTCTTTCTAGTCTTCTGTCTTTTTTTTTTTTGGGGGGGGATCATCCTTACTTTCTCCCTCTCTTTCTAGTCTTTCTGTCTTTTTTTTTGGGGGGGGGGGGGGGAATCATCTTACTTTCTTCCTCTCTTTCTAGTCTTCTGTCTTTTTTTTTTTTTTTGCGGGGGGATCATCTTACTTTCTCCCTCTCTTCTAGTTCTTGTCTTTTTTTTTTGGGGGGGGGATCATCTTACTTTTCCCTCTCTTTCTGTCTTTTCTTTTTTTTTTTTTTGGGGGGGGATCATCTTACTTTCTCCCTCTCTTTTCTAGTCTTCTGTCTTTTTTTTTTTTTTGGGGGGGGGGATCATCTTACTTTCTCCTCTCTTTCTAGTCTTCTGTCTTTTTTTTTTGGGGGGGGGGGATCATCTTACTTTCTCCCTCTTCTTTCTAGTCTTCTGTCTTTTTTTTTTTTTTGGGGGGGGAATCATCTTACTTTCTCCCTCTCTTTCTAGTCTTCTGTTTTTTTTTTTTTTGGGGGGGGGGAATCATCTTACTTTCTCCCTCTCTTTCTAGTCTTCTGTCTTTTTTTTTTTTTGGGGGGGGGGATTCATCTTACTTTCTCCCTCTCTTTCTAGTATTCTGTCTTTTTTTTTTTTTTTGGGGGGGGGGATCATCTTACTTCTCCCTCTCTTTCTAGTCTTCTGTCTTTTTTATTGGGGGGGGGGGAATCATCTTACTTTCTCCTCTCTTTCTAGTCTTCTGTCTTTTTTTTTTTGGGGGGGGGGGATCATCTTACTTTCTCCCTCTCTTTCTAGTCTTTCTGTTTTTTTTTGGGGGGGGGGAATCATCTTACTTTCTCCTCTCTTTCTAGTCTTCTGTCTTTTTTTTGGGGGGGGGGATCATCTTACTTTTCTCCCTCTCTTTCTAGTCTTCTGTCTTTTTTTTTTGGGGGGGGGAATCATCTTACTTTCTCCCTCTCTTTCTAGTCTTCTGTCTTTTTTTTTTTGGGGGGGGGATCATCTTACTTTCTCCCCTCTTTCTAGTCTTCTGTCTTTTTTTTTTTTGGGGGATCATCTTACTTTCTCCCTCTCTTTCTAGTTTCTGTCTTTTTTTTTTTTTTTTGGGGGGGGATCATCTTACTTTCTCCCTCTCTTTCTAGTCTTCTGTCTTTTTTTTTTTGGGGGGGGGGATCATCTTTACTTTCTCCCTCTCTTTCTAGTCTTCTGTCTTTTTTTTTTTTTGGGGGGGGGGATCATCTTACTTTCTCCCTCTCTTTCTAGTCTTCTGTCTTTTTTTTTTTTGGGGGGGGATCATCTTATTTCTCCCTCTCTTTCTAGTCTTCTGTCTTTTTTTTTTGGGGGGGGGGAATCATCTTACTTTCTCCCTCTCTTTCTAGTCTTCTGTCTTTTTTTTTTTTTGGGGGGGGGATCATCTTACTTTCTCCCTCTCTTTCTAGTCTTCTTCTGTCTTTTTTTTTTGGGGGGGGGATCATCTTATTTTCTCCCTCTTTTCTAGTCTTCTGTTCTTTTTTTTTTTTTTTGGGCTCTTCTTCTGGGGGGGGGGGATCATCTTACTTTCTCCCTCTCTTTCTAGTCTTCTGTCTTTTTTTTTTTTTTGGGGGGGGGGATCATCTTACTTTCTCCCTCTCTTTCTAGTCTTCTGTCTTTTTTTTTTTTTTTGGGGGGGGGGGAATCATCTTACTTTCTCCCTTCTCTTTCTAGTCTTCTGTCTTTTTTTTTTTTGGGGGGGGATCATCTTACTTTCTCCCTCTCTTTCTAGTCTTCTGTTCTTTTTTTTTTTTTTTGGGGGGGGATCATCTTACTTTCTCCCTCTCTTTCTAGTCTTCTGTCTTTTTTTTTTTTTTGGGGGGGGGGATCATCTTACTTTCTCCCTCTCTTTCTAGTCTTCTGTCTTTTTTTTTTTTTTGGGGGGGGGGGGATCATCTTACTTTTCTCCCTCTCTTTCTAGTCTTCTGTCTTTTTTTTTTTTTTTTGGGGGGGGGGGACTACTTACTCTCCCTCTCTTTCTAGTCTTCTGTCTTTTTTTTTGGGGGGGGGGAATCATCTTACTTTCTCCCTCTCTTTCTAGTCTTCTGTCTTTTTTTTTTTTTTGGGGGGGGGATCATCTTACTTTCTCCCTCTCTTTCTAGTCTTCTGTCTTTTTTTTTTTGGGGGGGGGATCATCTTACTTTCTCCCTCTCTTTCTAGTCTTTCTGTCTTTTTTTTTTTGGGGGGGGGATCATCTTACTTTCTCCCTCTCTTTCTAGTCTTCTTGTCTTTTTTTTTTTTTTGGGGGGGGGGATCATCTTACTTTCTCCTCTCTTTCTAGTCTTCTGTCTTTTTTTTTTTTTTTTTGGGGGGGGGATCATCTTACTTTCTCCTCCTCTCTTCTAGTCTTCTGTCTTTTTTTTTTTGGGGGGGGGGGGGGATCATCTTACTTTCTCCCTCTCTTTCTAGTCTTCTGTCTTTTTTTTTTTTTGGGGGGGGGGGAATCATCTTACTTTCTCCCTCTCTTTCTAGTCTTCTGTCTTTTTTTTTGGGGGGGGGGTCATCTTACTTTCTCCCTCTCTTCTAAGTCTTCTGTCTTTTTTTTTTTTTTTGGGGGGGGAATCATCTTACTTTCTCCCTCTCTTCTAGTCTTCTGTCTTTTTTTTTTTGAGGGGGGGGGATCATCTTACTTTCTCTCCTCTTTCTAGTCTTCTGTCTTTTTTTTTTTGGGGGGGGGGGAATCATCTTACTTTCTCCCTCTCTTTCTAGTCTTCTGTCTTTTTTTTTTTTTGGGGGGGGGGATCATCTTTACTTTCTCCCTCTCTTCTAGTCTTCTTTCTTTTTTTTTTTTGGGGGGGGGGGGGGGATCATCTTACTTTCTCCCTCTCTTTCTAGTCTTCTGTCTTTTTTTTTGGGGGGGGTTCATCTTACTTTCTCCCTCTCTTTCTAGTCTTCTGTTTTTTTTTTTTTTTGGGGGGGGGGTCATCTTTACTTTCTCCCTCTCTTTCTAGTCTTGTCTTTTTTTTTTTGGGGGGGGGGCGGGTCTAGTCTCTGTCTTTTTTTTTTTTTGGGGGGGGGGGTCATCTTTACTTTCTCCCTCTCTTTTTCTAGTCTTTCTGTTTTTTTTGGGGGGGGAGAATCATCTTACTTTCTCCCTCTCTTTCTAGTCTTCTTTTTTTTTTTTTGGGGGGGGGAATCATCTTACTTTCTCCCTCTCTTTCTAGTCTTCTGTCTTTGTTTATCTATTTATTCATTATTATTATTAGTTTTTTTTTTGGGGGGGGGGGAATCACCTCCCTACTTTCTCCTCTCTTTCTAGTCTTCTGTCTTTTATTTTTTCATTTATTTATTTATTATTATTATTATTTTTTTGGAAAATCATCTCTCTACTTTCTCCCTCTCTTTCTAGTCTTCTGTCTTTCTTTTTTTTTTTGGAAAATCATCTCCCTACTTTCTTCCTGTTTTCCTAGTCTTCGCTCTCACTCTCTATCTCTCTCTTTTAATAATTTCTTTACTTTCTCCGTCCCTTCCTTGTCTTCTTTCTCTTTCTTTTAAATTCTTTTTTGAAAAATCATCTTACTTTCTCCCTCTCTTTCTAGTCCTCTCTCTCTCTCTCTCTCTTTTATTCATCTCCCTACTTTCTCCCTCTTTTCCTAACCTTCTCTCTCTCTCTCTTTTGAAAAAATAATTTCCCTACTTTCTCCCTCCCTTCCTAGTCTCCTTTCTCTTTATTTTATTTATTTAATTATTTTTGAAAAATTGTCTCCTTACTTTCTCTCTCTCTCTCTCTTTTTTTTTTTTTTTTGAAAAATCCGCCTCTTTATTTATTTATTTTTTTGAAAACTCGTCTCCCTACTTTCTCTCTCTCTTTCTCTTTTTTTTTTTTTTTTTTAA